GGGGATGATTTTCCCTCTTCCTCTTTCTCCTCTTCATTTTTTCACCCGAGACGCCAGAGCTACCCAGCCGAGCTGCGAATTAAAATTCTATCGAAGCAAAGGCGCTTAAGATTAACTCGAGATTCATCCATTTTCCGCACTCGGGAACTCGCAGGAACTCGCAGGAACTCGCAGGAAGTTATCTCTTTTGCTCTCTCTCTCTCTCTCTCTCTCTCTCTCTCTCTCTCTCTCTCTCTCTCTCTCTCTCTTCCCCGGGGGTAAGTAGAAAAAATGGATTTAATTCCCTTTAATATTCCATATAGATCGTCGCTTCCTCCGTTGCAACGCAACGAGTTATTGACTTTGCGCGCGTGCGGAAGTGAATCTTCCTCTTTCTCTCGCCATCGAGAAGCACCACCTCCCCCGTCATTACACCCCTCGAGTGTCATTGTTATTCCTCTCCGCGACTTCCCGGGTCTCTTTTCGCCGACATTCCCTCCGAGGGATGCGATATTCGCGAAATCCGGAGACTCGTTTCGCGAATTTTCCTCAGGGGCGCGCGAGGTGTCACGAGGAACGCGACGAAGCACCAAATGTGTGCGCATCGCCCAATCGGCTGCATTATTGACGGAAAATCCGGCCGATCGACCGGCGCAACGACTTGCGTTTTCCTCGCAGCCCCGGAACTCGATTATTACTAATTATTCGCGAACTAATTATTCGCAACCATCGACCTGCGTGGCTCTCATTGGTCATTTGTATTTTTCACTGAACTGAAATATCTGGTAACCTCGATACAAAATTTCTTATTATAAAATTAATTCTCAAGAACGAGAATTACGAGTAAATTATAAAAAAAAATTGACAATCACATCTCGATGTTTTATCAATATGCGTACAGGGCCACGATGAAGTATACCAGATATTTGTGTGAAACTGCAGTTTTGCAGTTATCATCCACACTGATGTGCCGCAAAGTTTACCGACAGGCGGTGATTAAACAGCGGAATTTTCTGCATACATTGAATCTTTGACGTCGTAAGACTTTCACGGTCTTTAGTTTTACTTCGTTGGTGCCGCAGCTGTCTCATATATTCTCGCGAGCGCGAGACGGCGGTGAAATTTAAGATGATCGGTCCCTCAAACTTTACATTATGTGTGCACCTCTATTAGCTCAACTGACGTATAAATAAAAGGTTAATAAGACAAATGAAAAGTAAATCATGTCTCCGTGTTTGTAACATTGTGTAACATTGTGCATATAATTGTCATAATTTCGGGCGCTCAAAGGAAAAAAAAAAGTAACATTATTTATTACTTAGAAAGTTAAATAAAGTTAAAGGAGATTTTTTTTTTTTTTAGTATATAACAATAAACTTGACGCCGGCACTGGAAATGCGGCGCTACGGAAGTATCTTGAATTTCAATCCAGGCGGCGATTATCGCGCACGAGTACACGCTACGCGACGAGTAACGAACGCGGTGTTATTGCGATGACAACTGAGCACCGGTGCTCAAAGCGGTACAATAGAGCAGGAGGGGCGGGAAAAGGAGGAGGAGGAATAGTAGTCGACGAGACGCATCCGTCCGATTGAACGGAAATCCGATACCCACCCCCCGGCCGAAGACAACTGCCGAGATCGCGAGGGGGTTAATTGGACGTGGCGAGGGACAGGGCGAAGTTGACGAGGGGCAACTCGAGCGCGCTATTGCGAATTTACACTTGTGTCCAACAGACATTATCGGCTCGACCTGTGAGCGTCGCTACGTTAGCAGTATTAGTATCGCAGGAACTGATAACGATGACTCAAGTAAGTTGAAATCTGAACGTGGAGCAATCGCAAAAACTAGGTAATCTCACGGAAATTATAGTCATTTCCGACGCCGACTGTGTCTTCTTATTGTTCTAACAAAAAAGTAATGGCGAATTTACACTTGTGTCCAGCAGACATTATCGGTCCGACGTCGCTACGTTAGTATCGCAGAAACTGATAACGGGCGTTGAAATCAGTTGGAACTTGCAGGTGGAATCACTGGGGGAAAGAAGTGGTTCCTTCGCTGAAATTGTAGTCAATTTTCGGCGTTTACCGTATCTTCCTGTTCTAATATAAAAGAGTAGCAGCAGCGACATATAAATTTATCTTACATATATAAACTTGTTATCATTGACGCTAGAATAATATTTACTGAAACTAATATTTACAAAAAACGGTCTGGCTGACGATCATTCTTCCACTATGCGATCATTACAGCTTCGACTGTCGGACACTTTTTCCTTACCGTCCAATTACTCGCCCAACTATTCGCGCTTTCTAATGATTATTTTGATATCGGTTGCTGATAGCGGCATGTCGTTCACGACCGGCTGATGAAGGGCGTGCTTAACGATCGCGGCGAATCAGCCGATCGTTCCACTTTTCGCGAACGGAACGAGCTCTCTTTGTTACCGTTTTATTTTCCCTTTCCGCTTACCGTACCCCTCCTTTCGCCTCCGCATTCGCGAAGTTTATTTATCGTGAACCGTCGGGGGATACTTACCGGGGCCGAAAGAGGATATTGTTATTTACGAGAGAGAAAGAGAGAGATGGAGGACTATTATCAGGCGCGTTTCTTCGGCGCTTGTTCGCGGAATTGTGTAAGTATTAGTTATCGGCTTACATTCGCAGGAACGCGTATAGTCGGCGCCGGGGATGCCGCGGCGGGGAGAACTCGCGGCTGGTGGGAAGTGTGCTCGACGATGTCGTTAGAGCTCGACGAGGGCAATGGGTCTCTCGTTGGAGGACGGATGTACGTTCGTACATTTTTAATGACAGGAGGACGCCGGCTAATAATACAGCGGATGAAAGAAACACGCGCGCGAGGGGGGCTCGCGATCGATACGACGTGATACGAGTAATGGAAGTAACGCGGCGCCTTCCTCCGTGTAAGTCTTCGCCCGGGAAGAAACACCGCTGAAACTTTGTACGTGACTTGTATATTATCCCGAGCGCCGTGACTCCTTTTTGCTATTTTGTCCCCTTTGGCGCCTTCGCCGGCTATATTTTATAATCTATCACCCTCGACGCGCGGAACTTCCTACGCGGCAGGCGGTTTTGAATACATGTAATCGTTATTAGAAACTTTCGATGGCTCGTTCTAATTATCTGGATTTATTATTGAAGTCTGGCGTTTAATTTCAGCTCGGTTTTAGTTTTTCTGTTCGGTGCCGTTCAGTGTCCGCTTTTAAGTTTGTTCGATTTATTATTGATTATATTCTCCTCTCTTTTTCTACTCTCTTATCTTCCCTTTTCTTCGTTCCCTTATCTCTCGATCCGCTCTGCTTTTATTTGATCTTTTGCGTGTAAAATACTCGTTTATAAATAAATAATATTTACGCTCGCGCGTGCACATACACACACACACACACACACTGTGTGTGGTTGCGCGAAGCGACCTCAGAAAGATTATGAAATATCACGAGAGGTCGTCTGAAAATCATCGAGTCGCAGAATAGATAAGACGCGCGAGCACTTCTCGCTCTCGTTTCGGATTCAATTATTGCGAGCGCTCGGTAAAATTAATAGGTATCGAAATGTGAAATGCACTGCCGGCAGCTTGTCGAAATCCAGCGCCAAGTTATATATACGTTTATATAAATATGCTTGAGTGATGATTAAACAATGGCAATACGAAGAGTAGAGATCTGTATCGTTAATAATTCTGTGTCGTTGATAATTCCATCGAATATTTCGCAGCGATTAATAACGTTTCCATTTCGCCGCGATTCGCGTATCGCGACGAATACAATTAAGATCAATTTTCATGAACCCGTGTAACTTCTCGTTAACAAATCGTTCCGAGCAACAATCTCTTTCCGTCCCCGAAATTAATGGACGCTGCCCCGGCGCTGTATACATTAGCCGCGTCGCCAAAAATAAGTTTTAATAATTAATCTCAAAGTTGGCCAATGATAAACGAGGGTGCCGCGACAGGCAAGTTTGCCGATATTTTAAATACTCTCTTTCTCGCAACTTCTCCGGAACGAGGAGAGAGAGAGAAAGAGAGAGAGAGAGAGAAAGAGACGCTGAAAGGGCTCCGTCAGTAATATTATACGGCACTCAACTCTTACAACTTACCACGGGCGCAAAACTCGCGACAAAAACGGCCAAGTTAAACGGGCTCTTAACAAGATTCCCGGAAATTTCCAACGTCTCCCATTGTTATCGATTATAAGAGCGACGGCGCAAAAATTCGGCCACTCGGCGATATCGCGCTGGAAGATGAGCGAAATTGCTCGCGTATCCCCCAGCGGAAGTACACTTCTCGAAGATATCTCTCATTGAGTTCTTCTATGAACGAAAAGTACAATTTCAGATTTCATCATCTGATACTCAGGGTTAACTGGATAAAACTCCGTTTATTATATTTCATGTAAAGGAAGTGTGTTTATGTCTGTGTATATATATATATATATATATATTATGAAGATTAAGAAGGATCAGCACGTGTTTCACATTTTTTGCACTCGACATACACATAGAAAGGACATTTCTTTGGATTTAATACACATGCTTGTTTGATTTGGATTTCTTTAATACAAACAACATAATTTAATATAAAACACCATGTTGTTTGGTAGAAAGAGCAGTATTACTTTGAAAAAAATAATATTTCGTTTCCAATCAAATAAATTTATTTCATTCGCTCGTTTATTATACACGCTAAACATTGTTTCGCTGGAACAAAGAAAACTCTTTAATATTTTTCTAACATAATGTAACTTCTTTCAAATAATTTATTGCTCGCAACAATCATCGTAACGTTTGGATGAGAGCACAGAAAAAGATGTAATTTGATATTTATCCTTTGAGAAATCGAACGATCCCGTTCTTGCTGAATCAAACATGCGTCTGTTTGCTCCGTTCCATAAGTACAAATCTGTTTCAATTGCAGAAATGTTATTAATTCCAAAGGAAATCTTCCCTGTGCACGAAGACATGACGTTCCACTGATGGAATCGCATTTTGCCGTGTATGTTTCAGAGTGAAGGTGAGACCGGGCGTGAAGATCCTGGAGGGCTCGTCCAGCAGCCCGGACTGGATCGTCGATAACGACGTCAACGCGAAGAACACGGCGGCGACGTTCACAGTGCGACGCAAGGAGAACGCGTCGCGTGTATCGAGCTCGTAAGTACCGCACGTACTTTCGGACTGGCCCGGCACGCACACTCTTCCCCTTGTTAAATCGGCGTGCTCGCCCGGCCGACGAGCTCCAGATGGTAAATCTCGCTGAGATCGTGTTTCAAACTGGCGTCCGAGGCCTCCCGCTCTACTGCTCGCGAAATCGACACCGACCTTGCGACCCGGGAATTGTCTAAGAAGCTACATCTTCTCTTCCTTTATTGCTCGCATTTCCGCAAAACTGAAACTGTCGATAAGATTGGACGGTTTACAATCAACAAACTGTGAACTCGTTCGTTCTTGTGCACTGAGAGAGAAAGTATGGCTAACTTCACTAAAATTGCGGTCATTTTCGGCGCTGTAACTTTTTATTATTCTAAGGAAATTAGAAACATATACATATGAGGTTATTATCAGTAACACTTTAGTAAAAAAAAAAAAAAAAAAAAAAAAATGGAAAAATNTGGTTATTGTCATACAATTACAGTCACGCCCACGAAACGATTTTTGTTGGTGTATTTTTTTTACCGAGATTCCAGGAGTTCCTGCGCGAACGCACGAGGAAGATAAAATTTCAGATCCCACCAGCTTTGATACCACGACTCTCCGTTTATTATATTTAACATTTAAAGGAATACGTATGTGTGTGTGTGTGTATACATATATCACTATGAAGATTAGTGTTATCAAGCCGGAATGTGTTCCTCCGGCTCCTGCAAGGGATCGGGCTCTACGGTTGTCGGCTTGGGCGTGCAGTGTCTCTTCTTCTTCTTATTCTTCTTCTTCTTCTTCTTCTTTTTATCCTTATTCGACCGAGTCACTCGTTTGCCCTCCGTCTCGCTCTGGTAACCGGCGTCTTCATCTTCGATCGCGACTCGATTCTTCGCGTTCTCTTCGGACGACAGACCCGCTGAATTCCCGACTGGTCGACCCGGCCGAGCGTACGATAGAATCTTCTTCTCGGACGACGATTTACTTTCCGAAGTATCGCCGGCCGTCCGGATAAATTGCTTCTTCGATTTGTCGTACCGCTCAGCGGACGATGATTCACTCGCCGGGGTGTTCTCGATGGATCGATTCTTCGGTTTGTTCTTCTTCTTCTCTCTGGACGAATCGCTCTCAGATCTTTCCCTGAGCGCGCGAACAAGTCGTGAGTTCGTCAGCTTATTGGATGATGATCCACTTTTCGAACTAACCTTGACTTCTCGTCGAGTCTTTTTCGGATCGCTTTTCCCTTCACTCGAGTTGCTTTCTGACGTATCCTCGGCTGATCGGGTAAACCGCAGGTTCTTCGGCTGGTGATGCTCTTCGGACGACGATTTACTCTCCAAGGAGGGCTGATTGAGCCCTCTGACGAATCGACGCACTTTCCCGCCCTTCTTTTCAGACGTGTCGCTTTCCGACGTGTCCTCGGCTGAGCGGGTAAACCGCAGATTCTTCGGCTGGTGCTGCTCCTCGGACGACGATTTGCTCTCCAAGGAGGGCTGATTGAGCCCTCTAACTAATCGACGCGCTTTCCCGCCCTTCTTTTCAGACGTGTCGCTTTCCGACGTGTCCTCGGCTGATCGGGTAAACCGCAGGTTCTTCGGCTGGTGCTGCTCTTCGGATGACGATTTGCTCCTCAAGGAGGGCTGATTCAGCCCTCTGACAAGTCGGCGCGTTTTCTTGTCCTTCTTTTCCGACGTGTTGCTTTCCGACGTGTCATCCGCCTCTCTGACAACTCGGTCTGATTTCTTCGGATATACCAGCTCTACGGGTTCTTTGGACTCACTTTCCGAAGTGTCGCGTCGACCTATTACAGCTCTCTTCTTACGATGCTTGTTGTTGTCTTCCTCCGAGGACGACGACGAAGAAGATGAGGACGAATCGTCGTCATCGTCGTCATCACAATTGTCATTATCGTCGTCGTCGTCATCGTCGTCGTCCTTCTTCGATTTCGCGCGTCGCTTCTTGCTCTTCTTACGATGGTCGTCATCGTCGTCGTTGTCGTCGTCCTTCTTCGACTTCGCGCGTTTCTTGCCCTTCTTATCATCATCATCGTCGTCATCGTCGTCATCATCATCACTGGAAGAGCTGCTGCTGCTGCTGCTGTCGTCATCATCATCGTCGTCCTTGCCCTTCTTCTTCGAGCCCTTAGCGCGCGCTACGCGCTGCAGCTCCCTCTCCTCCGCTTCGTCCTCCTCCTCCTCCAGAAGCCCCCATTTATCCTTCAAATAGGATTCCCTTTTCTCACGCTTCTCCTTGTTCTCTTCGCTGGAGGACGACGAACTATCGGCCTTCGTCTCCTTACCCTCGCCGGGGCTCAGCTTCTCCGTGACATACTCTATTAAATCCGGCTCTACAAGCTCCTCTACTAAGTCCTTCTCGCCGACACACCTGCTCGCGAGCAGCACGAAGGTGCCCGCGAGCAAGAACAACGCGCTGAAACGCATGATCGGCACTCGCAAGAGGACGGGTGATACGCACTCGCGACGGGCGTCGAACGGTCGCTTTATATACCGGTGATAAAGACAGCGCGAGACGTTGACTCTGATAGTCGATATCGTTGCGTATGTGCTGAGATCGCTGAAGCGAGGGAGGAAAGAGAGGGAGGAGAGAGGGGCGAGAGATCGCCTCGTTATCGCGGTGAACCCGCCGATGGTCCGCTTTGATTCCGCGCGGAACACTCTCGCGGAGAGAGAGCGCGCGCGGCCTCCGAGAGCTTCCGCGAAATCGACGATTTACCACCGCCCCTGGTCGCTTCGGATCATCGATCGCGCGCGCGCGCGCGCGCGCAGGGTAACGCCGGCACGCAACGTAGATCGGCGGCCGGCGATAAGGGGGTGACTCGCGGGGTTCCGCCTTATCGAGATTCTGCGCGGCTCTCTCTCGCCTGTAGTAGCGAACGCGACGGCTCTCGCATCGAGATCAGCTCGATGTGTGCCTGCTAGCCTTTCCTCTCCTCTCCTCTCCTGGCGCAGGTAGTAGCTCGAGGCTGCGGAATAATTACTTGGAAATAACGTCGCGGCTGCTCCTCGGTCCCGATAAGATCGTAATGAGCGAGTGACGCCGCGAAAGTTGCGCTTATTAAGAATGCTTAACGAAGGAGCGCGCCGGGGATTATGTATGGGACGGGGAGAGGCGCGGGACAGGCGGTGGCCTCGGCGGATATTAAGGCTGAAATCGAAATATCCGTCTTGGAGACGACGACTGCGGACGACGGGCCGCGATTCGCAATCTCAATCTTAACGGCGCGCGGTCGGGCGAGTTGGATATTTTTTTTTCAATATTCAATATCCCCGTTAATAGGCTCGGGAATGAGCGATCAACATTCTCACGTGTGCTTGTGTAATATCCTTATGACGTACTTTCGATAGATGAATCGAATTAATCTTATATATGTGCACGGGTTACGTACAGACATCGGTATATTGAATCTTGAATCTGAAAGCTGAGCGCAACAGCCGTCGTACGCTTGTAGATCAAGCCACTCTAAACGAAGCAGTCCTTCATCATTTTGCAAATAGTACGCGAACTTTTGTGTTATTACTTACAGAAGACTCTATATACGAGTCGTTTTCAATCATTGATAACTCGACATTTTTCCTCTACTTATATTATTTCAAAGCAAAATATGGAAATTTAGGTTACATGCATAATATGGAAAACGCGTTTTTTTTTTTGTTTCATTGCGTTACGCAATTTCGAATTTTTTACTGTGCGACGCCGCCGAGCGAAGGACGCAGGCAGCCGTCGCCGCCGTTACCGGCGCCGATCTTCTCCCGCGACCGCGATTTTAATCTGCGTTTGCTCGCCCTCCCTCCTTCCTCTCTCCGTAGAACTATATTTCCAATAAAATTTGGGCAATTTGCAACTCGATATGTGTTAGCGTATATATGCTCATGCGCCGAGTAAACATTCTTCCGCTCTTGTCAGTATTTTTTTCTCCTGCCAATTGTGTGTCTGCTTCGTTACGGAACCGCGCTGAAAAACGCGTTTCACGTATTTTTCGCTTTTCATCGAGTATACATACCTGTAATCCGATGCGGTGCAAATCTCGAATTCTGATGTGCGCGTCGGAGTGCTCTGCAAAAAAAAAAATTGGAACGTCAAAGGAAAACATGACAATCCCTGATTTAGTCGAAAAAAAATTTACCGGCGGGGGTCTCGGGATTGTTCCCCTGTTATTGATGCGAGGCAAATTTACAGTTTAATTTCGGAGTGAAAACGACCGGGGGGGTTCCCGGGAACGGTGCGCTGCATTTTATGTAACGTGGCATCGTTCGGTAACAAAAATAAGCTGAAAAAAAGAAAAAAAAATACAGGAGAACACGGAATCAACGTGCGCATTCATTTAACGTTACCCGGGGGTAGGATTTGTTGTTGCCTCTCCCAACGCGTAATTAAGTGCAACGAATTTACGGATCTCTCAGCGAGCCTAATTGTATTTACATGAGGATGGATATTTAATTACATGTTTAACTCATAATTCCTCGCGAAAATTACTCCGTTCCACCGGCGATTCTGCATCCGACGTCGTTCCGGTGCGCTCGTGTCGTAAAATATGAACGTGTCGTCGTCGGATCGCGTGTAGCGAAAGAGAAAGAACGATAACGGATGTTTCGGAGAACCTTTCGGCGCGCATCGAGAGAAGAATGCAGAGCCTCTCTTTCTCTCTCTCTCGCTCCCAGCAGGGGGTGAGCTCACAAGGGTAAGAAGCGCGAGAGAAGGGGGAGGGTTTCAGTTGGTTTCTTGCGCGATGTACAATTTTCCGTTCGCCGTTTAACTGCCGAGTAAGAGGCGAGTTTTCGTTCCTTTTAATTCCCAGGCTCGTTCTCACGAACTCCCTTCGAAATAGCATCGGTCGTTAAACGGCGTATTTACACCGCTCGAGCGCGAGCGAACGAGCGAACATTTGCTCGCGCTCACGGCGGCGGAGAGGAACGTGCGGCACCGCGAACGAATCCCTTCGCATCGGTGATACAGAGCCATCGTGGATTGTTCGCGAACAATCGCGAACTTACGAAGAACCATGTCTCTCGCGTCATCGCTTCCCTCCGTGCTCGCGAAATTACGAGTGCCGATTATGCTGCGTTCAGCCACGCGCGATCCTTACACGGGAAAAAGATATTCGGCTCGTGTAACCGATTCGTGGACCGGACGAAAATCTCCCGGTTGCGGAAACAGGAAGTAGGAAGTTTCTACTCGATCGATTGTTAATTGTCTAAATCGATTTTTCCTCATTTCTAATTTAATACAACTTAACGGGATATTACATTTGAAAATTTTAATGATAGAATAATCAAGTCTTTTCTGCAAACTTTTTCTATTCTTTTAGGCTTTTGTGTAAAAGTATAGAACCTTCGAAATTCTCTTCATTGGGGCAAACACGCACTCGGTATGCACAAGTTGCAAAATTTTTGTTTTAGGCAAATGTTTACTCGACATATCGAGATTTCAGTTTTGAAACTTTTATTGCCACGTATTGAACAATGCTCCAATTTATTTTCGCACGTATTTTCGCTGTGCAGAAGCATTTGTAATTTTGTGCAACCAATGGAACGTAAATTTTGCAGAAAAAAATTAATATTAGTTCTGTCGATAGTTTCCAAATGTAACGTCCTCTTGATGTTCAGGCGAATTTTTTCGACGGTAACGGATATATTTATACGTTTCTCATCACCGAGCTTTCGTCCGATCGCTATTCAATATATTCGGCGAGTTATTTTCTTCCATGTCGTCATCGCTTTTATTAAATTGCAATTGTTCCATTTCCACGCTGAGGAAAATAATTTAAAGGGACGGCAAATTTTCACGCTTTCGTAGGTAATAAATACATGTGCCCGTCTAATATTTTGGGAGTTGATTTTTGAGGTTGTTTCATGATGAAAATAAACATGTTTGTACCGATTTTTCTTTTTTTTTCCGAAATAACCTCAAAAATCAACTGCTGAAACATCGGACAGTGCTTAAAAGAAAACAGCCCGTATATTTATTCATTCGCCACGGCGGCATTAATTTTGCCGTCTCTCCGGATTGTTTTTCTCTCCGGACGTCTCGGAATTTCCTTCACTCCCGAGGAAACTTCCATCCTCCGTTCGCCGACTGTAATACTGCGGAAGGGCGGGAGGTGACGTCTCAGCATCTTCGTTACTCGTTGATAATCACGAACATGATTCTCAATCATGTATGATTGTCAGTCACGTGACTACCGGTCATAACGCGATTATCAGATTCTAGTTGATAATCACGAGGATTTCCTCGACGATTATTCAAAGGACTCGGGATTTCAGGATCCGTTGATGAAATCTCGAGGATCGAGCGTATCTCTAATTCGAATCCCCCCCATTTATGTTCTCAGGGCCACCGAGGAGATAATGACGATGTTGCTGGAGGCCAGCGAGGAGGGTATCGGCGAGGGTTACGACAGGGACAGCGGCAGGATCGTGTGGACCGTGCGTTACACCTTAGAGGGTGAGGAGGAGAACGGCTCACAGTTGACGGACATGGACCAGTCGCAGCGGATACAGCAACGGCAATTGCAACACCATCACCATCATCGTGTCGACAAGAAGAAGGTGCAGGTGCGGCTAGAGATACAGAAGGACGACATACAGGCGGTATTGCCGATCTCGAAGGTAACGCCCGATTCTCCGTCCGATCGAACGCTAATTCGAATTCGCGGCTATATACGTAGACGAATCAACACGAGAAGTCAGCTTTCGGTATATCTTCCACTTTTATCTTTTTCGTGCGCGCGCACGATGTCAATTAAACATTCACACGGAGAGCAGTCAACGATATTTTCGGAATTTTTATACTATCGACGTGTATTTCAGGTACAATTGTGTAGCTTTAAATGCGCGCGCGCGTGTTTCTTTTTTGAGAACTTTCCACGGTAAAATCATCAAGGACGAAGGAGAGTCTTTACGCAACTTCAGCGAGAAAAGAGGAATTTTTATCGCGTCACTTTGTACGAAAGCGAAGTAGGAAGGAAGTCCTCGACCTCGAGATCTTATCAGTCCGTCGAACGGGCGTGCGACGGTGGTGCGGCTTGTGCGAAGAAACTTGTTTATTGCGGTTTACAGCGCACATCGAAGAAAATTTATATAACTCTCTGACGTCGCGATCTACGGAGCGCGGGGGCGAATTAAGAGCCTCGGGGCGACGTCGAGAGATTTTTTGAAACTTCGGTCCAGATTTTGGCGTTTCTCTCTCTCTCTCTCTCTCTCTCTATTTTTCTCAAAACGTCCTTCGTCCTTCCGGTCCCGTTCATCGAAAATCCCGCGGAAGAGAGGCGACTCGAGCGACGAGCGCGATCAATACCGCCGTATCGATCACGCCGCCGCGTGAGAATCTGTTTCCACTCGGTCGGCCAATTTACGGTCCTCCCGCGAGCATCTCTCGCGTCGAGACGCGCTGAGAGCGAGAGAAAAAGGAGGAAATCGGCGATAGGGAGAGAAGAAAAAGCGCCGAGGTGGACCGACAAAGGATAATGCTTTTCCCTCTTTGCCTCCCAGGACGAGCCTCTTCCCTCTCTCTCCTTCTCCCCCTCTCTCTCTCTATCTCTCTCTTTCCTCCCCCTTCACATCCCTTCCCCTCTCCGCATCGTCTCGTGGCCGGTGCTTTTTCCACGGCTTTTCCCGCGTCCGTGTGCTCACCATAACGGCGATATTTCTAGCCACGGCAAAACTTTATCGATGGTCGCAAGCGCGTCGCGAGTCGATCAGCCTCTTGCCGAGCAGCTACGTGTTCCCATTTCGGTAACCGGCGATCCAGCTGGTAACAACAGATTGTAATGAAATTTTCGATAGCACGCCCGGCAGCGCTCCGGCTGGCATTCTCGCGCCGCTCCTCGTGCCGAACTCCGCGAACACGCGGCATGAAGCGCGTGGCAAAGCGGCGAAATTGTTGGAATCGTTGACCCCGAGAGGGATCTTTTCAACCGAGATTGCGGGATTTTGGGGAGCGAGGGGAGGGGCGAGGGTAGAGAAAGGTTTGTCGAAGGAGCAGCGGGATAATCGACGATGCAGCATTGAAGGTGCGCTGCACTTTGCGAGGCTAGAACGCGGTCTCGTCAAATCACTCTTTAAGCAGTCCATAACGGCACGGTCGGGACGCACAAGCCCGGGCTATGTAAATTAGATCTGATGGTTCCACGCTATCTAAGCGAGAATGACACGCTCGCAATTTCCAGTAACACGACACAGCAGGTGTGCGCACGGTCGCTGCATGGTGTTCTCTCTCTCTCTCTCTCTATGTGTGTTAAAGCTCCCCTCTTCCCTTCCCCCACTCGTGCTTTGCCGAGTTGATCATTCACTGAAACACTCGCCCGGCGAATCTCGACGAATTAATGAAAAGAGTTTAATTTCAGCTTCTGAAACGAGCAAAAAGTAGGACGTTGCGCGATTAAAATAGCTGATTCGCCGGGAATAACTCAAACTCTGAACTCGTGTATTGTATATATTTTTCTTTATATATATATATATATATATATATATATATATATATATATAAATAAATGAGAATTATACATATAAAAACATTATGGGAGAAAATTAAATGATCACCGTGTCCATTACGGCGCTTCTTCGCAGAATCGCGTCGCAATCTCGAGAAAATTTCTTACGAGTCCCAAGTTTCCTCGAGTCTTCGAGTTTCTTCGAATCGTGATAAGTCTCATGATGCATAAACAACCGGCAAGTTTGCGTAATGCGACACTTCTCGCTGTTATGAATGATTGTTTTTTTCGACGTCCGCACGCGGATTCTTTAGATGCATGAAATCGAACCGAGTCGGCGCGAGTTCGAGGCTCGGTATTGCAACATTGCATTAAACACTGACGGATAACGCAGGACAGAGGTCGAGGGCGCGAGGTCGCTCTTAATTAAAAAGTTTGCTCGCAGTTCTCGCGCGGCACGAGGAGCAGCAATTAGAGTAAGGATAATCAAGAAGCGTGCGCGCGCGCCGTATTTCCGACAGCTTCCCATGCGCGCGGCACCTTCAAAGGGATATGTAAACGAATTAATTATCTAATTTATCAATTAGAGCGACCTCCAACGCACTTGCGCGCGTTTCCCTCGCCGAAATTTATCAGTGTAATGGCCCGTATTGTGCATATTTTACGCGCGATAGCGTAGAAAATCCCCTTGCCCTCTTTCCCTCCCTCCTCCCGTCAGTTCTCTCTATTTGTTTCCTTCTCGATGGGATCTCAGGTCGAGAAATATTTTCACCTTCCCTCCGGAGAAAATCGAAAAATAATCTCGCAATCTCGGGAATATCTGACAGGAAATTGCGTATGATTTGTTTATGTATCAAGATTTATATTTGGTCTACTCTTTAAAATATATAATCCTACGAACGAGTTTGTTCATTAAAATACGAAGAAATGCATCGAGTATCGGAAGACAAGAATAGTCGTTCCTCGTAAAAGATAAATCATAATGAACGATCGAACGATTAATAAAATAGTCCTTTCTTAATAACAGACTCTAAAAGTTATATAAATAAAATTGACTTTCGTGTCTGGTTTTTTCATGTCTAGTCTAAAGTTAATCTTCATTCCATACTCTATTTAAATAGCTTCTTTACTGCTAAAAGCGCCAGGCGGAAAAATATTCTGAAAAAAGTGGGATCATACACATATAAAGAGTACTAAAATCGACAAAACGGCTGTTTCAGAATTATCGAATGTACGCCGTCGGCTGAACTGTCTGCAAAATGTACAGACCCGTTGAATTACAGAACGTTTGACATTTCAAAAGTCGGATCGCAGATTCATACATACGAACCCTCATTTGATGATATATTGAATTTCTGTCGAAAGTAACAGAGAGAGATATAGGCCGTGTCTTTCATTCACTGTGCAACACTGTGCTTGCCGTCTTCATTGTTATGGTCCTCGAATAATAGTAACTAGGCGAGCATGCACTCCTCGAGTGCTGCTCAAGGCTTAAATGCGAGCGCAATCGTTACCACCCGATTTCCTCGATTCCACCCACCTACTACAAGCGTATCTCCTTTTCCTCAAAGTACGAGAAACACAGACTCACGACGAGTCTGAAAGACGAAGACGTATTAATAGTCGTTACCTGGAACTTGCCTCAAACGAGGATTTGAATTTTGAGTTAAATGTGAATCAAGCAATTGGCTGAATATCTTTAGAATCTTAATAACATTTAATAATTATTTATGTAATATTTTACGCTTACATTTTCAATTGAACTAAAATAAAACTTATATCTAACTTGTTAAAACTATGAGAGTAGAGCGCGAGTAGAGTTATTAAATGTGAATTTTTTCTGTTGAATTGCGATTATAAGTGTAATATATATATTTATGTACTTGAACTACAAACCTTAAACTTAGGTGCAACAGCTGTCAAATACTTGTAGATTAAGTAATATATATTCAAGTAATTATAATTTCACTTAATACCATCCTAAGGATCCTAAATCATCGAGCGTTTTAATCAGCGCATCCAACGTTCTTCACAGCCGGTGAATTTTGACCCGAGGTAGGAATTTACCGAAAAGCATTTATTGTCAGAAGCGAAAGAGTTGCGAAACAAGACGTGCCCCGTCCGATAAAACTTCCATCGCGGAAATATCGACTTTGAAATTGGTCCAACAATCCTCTTCTGGATCCCGGTTCTTTTTCAACACGTAACAAAAATTGAACCGAAAGTTGAGACGCGCGATTGTAACCAGCGATCCGAAATATTTTGCACGGTAAAAGTCATAACAGCCTCCCCCCCCCCTCCCCAACACGCGCGCGCTCCCACGCACACGGCGGTCTCGTAAATATTCCGCGAGGGCTCTCGATACAACTCGGAAAATATTTGATGAAAGGAAAGAAAAGAGCCGGGGGTTGGTTGCCTGGTCGGAACGTAAGCCCTGGCGCCGCCATCACCACTTTTACCATCGTAAGAGCGCGTTCGTCGGTGGTGATACAGTTCACTGGCGCGCGCACACACACACACACACAGAGAGAGAGAGAGAGAGAGAGAGAAGCACACGCCAACCACGAGCGGGGTATATAGAGAGCCCGCGCGAGGTCAGAGATTTAAATTCCCTCGCTGCAATATCCGAGCCGTTTGATGTTCCTTCCAAAGGCCGGCCCGCGTGGGAGCCAACTTGAAAATGGCTTACCGGTGGACCAGGCCGAGCCTCCTCTCTCCCTTTAGCCGGGCTGCCGCTGACGAACCAGAAAGTACAGCGATACGTGAACGCGGACGTGGACGTGAATGCGGACGTAAACGTGGAAAGTAATTTCCACACACGTGAACGCGCCCGATAGCAACGCGAGTTCGCTCTCTTTAGCACTCGCGCGAAGTAACCACGTGGCAACTTGACGCTTGTTTAAGGCAAATCTGCCGGACCTGCTCGTTACTTATCGCCGAGCTCCCTGGCGATTTTATGATGTTAAAACGTTGCCCATAAATAAATCGGCCGCTTCGGGGAAAATGCTCCCCCCCCCTCTCTCTCTCTCTCTCTCTCTTTCTCTCGCGCGTGAGAATGACTTTCATCGGGGAAAATGTGCCGTTCCAGCACAACCAGGTCGACCCGCGCGAGCGGATTTTGAGTTACGACGAGTTTCCTCGCGTAGCTTTCTCGAAGTTCTTCGAACTTGGCGCGAACTCGAGGAATTATACATACATATAACGCCGTCCAAAAGGAAGGATGGAAGGAAACACACAGGAGCGTGGAGAAAAATTTTCTTCCATTTCTCCCTCCAGTTGGCTGGAGTGATTGAGAGATAATTGCAGCAACGTCGAGGCAACACTTCTCGACCGAAACGTTATCGGAAGAGAAGGCTCTCTTCCGGTCTGAAGCGTGCTTTTCGATCCGACCGATCGTCAGTGCCCCCTCCCCCCTCCCCCCTCCCCTCTGGATTTCCCACTACCTTTGTGAACGCTGCCATCTATTTCCCTTTATCAATTTATATTTCCTTTTTCCCGAATTTTGCATTTTAGGAGGCGGTTCATTCATATCTTTTAATATCGGCCGTCGCTTTTCATCTTGTCACGACAAAATGGGAAATGAAGTTTGAAACAGAATGGATAACAGTTATGAATAATGGATAATGGCTATCAATGAAGGGTCATAGAGAGGGAGGGAGGGGGGAGAGAGAGAGAGGGAGAGAGGACGCATATATTGAAATATATGCAAATTTCGATGGCGCATGCCATTACAAAATCGAGGATACGAGAATTTTCGTGAACCGTGTCTCGCCCCGCTGAGCGCACACGCGCCCTCGTGAAGGAAGGAGAGAGAGAGAGAGTGAGAGAGGGGGGGGAAAAAGAGGGAATGATTTATATTTTCTTCTTTCTCGTTTTTTGTTTCCCCAACTCAGAACTGGGAGGTGATGAATACCGCGGTGCTGACGGGGCGTCAAGTGTCGCAGGGGATGAAGGTTTTCATCGTGAGCCAAGCCGGCACGGTGGCCGATGTCACGCTGCAGTCGTCCTGTCATTCCGAGGATGAGAGTGTTCTCAAGGTAATTGCTTTTTAATTTGCCTCCCGTGCTTATCGAGACTCCGGGCCGCTTAATTGGGAAAATCTCGGCGCTCTGTGTGTCCCGCTGGCAGATTCGCCAGCTCCTCGTTTTCTCGCCGTCCGACTTGTGCGATATCCCGCGTGGAGCCTCGTCTCTCTCTCTATTTTACGCGCCATTGACGAGAGGAAAAAGTGCCCGGCGGCGAAATGATTTGTTTCGAGGAGGATAATGTCGTAACGCTGCGATATGCGAATCCTCGAATTCGCGTATATATTGATTGCTCAAAGAAGCAGGAACGATGCCAGTAATTTATCACTGCGGCAGTTCTTTATATATATAACATTATTTATTTAAATAACGGAATAAATAAGTAAATTTAAAAATATACGTATATTTGTATTCAAATTTCTATATATTTGCATCTATTATATTATTTATTATCATAAACCGCGCGGGAAAAACAGTTCCGTTGGTGTAATTGAATTTTCCGCTGTCTGCGGACCGGACGAAAACTCGGTTGCGGGAACAGGAAGATTTCTGTACAAGGTTTCCACTCAGTCCGTTGCTCTCAGTTGTCTCAACCGAGTTTTAATGCAGCTAAATGCTCGGGTCTTCTCGAATCGTTGTAACAGAAAAATCACCTCTTCTCACTAAATTTTCATTTCTTGTCACTAAGTTTTTATCCGACCGTTATTTTGTCGCAGCAACCGAGTTTCTTTTCGTGCAGTGATACATACGCGGAAAAAAACCAATTCCGTGGGTGCGACTGAGTTTTCCGTTGGAGACCAGACGAAAATTCGATTGTAGAAGCCGAAAGATTCTTGTTGGGGATTTCTACTTGATTGCACCGAACGAAGAAATTTACCGCGCCTTTGGGAGCAAAGTACAGGTGTTACAGCGCGATGTGAATATTAATATTGTCAATATTAATATTATCGTAGGAGAATAATATTGTTCAGCGTGTAACGCACGTGAATATTCTCAACCAAACGCACCACGCGGCGAATTAATCCCCCAAGTTTAAACCAAACCTCAAGTCCCGAGTAATATTAATATCAACAATATTAATATTTACATCGCACTAAAACACCTGTGCTCCTAAAGGCCTGTCAAATTCTTTTCATTTGGTCCCCCCCAAGAAGGTACAATCTTCTTAAATGTTTCAGCCAATTGTTCTCAGTCGTCTCAGCCGAGTTTCAATGCAGCTGAATGTTCGAAGGAGAATGTTCTCAGTCGCGGTACAGAGATATCAAAGAGAGATTCTCGCCAACGAGTTCTTATCTGGTCTCTATTCCATTGCGGGAACTGAGTTCCTTTTCCCGTGCAAGACTAGAAAGTCCTGAGGAAAGAAGTTCGGTTGTGTTAACTAGAAAGTGGACAACTAAACCGCGCTTTCGTCCTCCACTTTCTGGCTAATTCAACGAAACTGTTTTTTTTTCCCCCGTGTAACAACCCAGTTGCGTTAAGATTGTTATAACATGGTCGGATGTCCTAACGCGTCTAATCGTCTCGCAAATTCGCACAGGTGTCGTCCTCGTGCAGCAGCGTCTACGTGGACGGTTCGGAGGTGCGCGGCTCCAGCAACGCGTCGGTGCTCGTCAAGTACGGCACGTACACCGGACTGGCGAAGTTCACCGTGTGGATGCCGGAGTTCCCGCTGGAGGTGACGGTCGGCGACACGCGGCTGAGCCAGATCAAGGGATGGAAAGTGCCGGAGGAGCACGCGAGCGGCGCCAAGAGCAAGCGCAGCCCGAACTCGACGGGGCTCGACGCGGCGCAGGTTGTCTCCCCGGGGAGCTTCACGTCGACGTCGCCGACGACGATGACGGTGAGCGCACGGGCGAAGAAGAGGAGCGCCGTCGAGCTCGAGGACTCCATCGAGGATGACACGTCCATGGACGTGGACGACCCGGACATGGTGCCCGACGAGGACGAGCAGGAGGAGCGATACCGTGGGGGCGATCATGGCTGGGACAATTCGATCGAGCGAAACCTACCGGCCGTCTGCAGGTTGCGCTTCCAACAGAGCCCGGTCGAGGTGCACGCCCGGTTCATCGCGATGGATCACGACTCCGGCAGGACCTCGTACTTCGTCAACCGTCGTACTTGGCTGCGCGTCACCGACCTCGTGGCGGGCATGATGCGCGTCTCCGATCCTCGGATAGCGACGCTTTTTCAGGGTAGGATAGTCCAGGGACGCGGCGTCGGCCGCACAGAGGTGCAGGTGTTGTCGCCGATCACCGGCAGGGTCATCGGCGCGAAGGAGGTCAGGGTCGGCAATGACCGCGTCTCCGTCACGCGTCTCTCCGTCACGGTCGTCTCCGGGCTCCAGCTCAGCATCAGTCCCGACACCGCGATCGAGAACGGATACATCGCCGAGACCTCGGTCACCAGGAGACTGACCGCTCAGTATCAGGTGAGACGGCTCGCGACGCTTCCTTCTCTCTCGCTTCTTCGAAAGAATCAACTCGCGAGATTGTTCGACCTTCGATTGAAATCAAACGCAGACGCGCAATTGAATCAATATATTATGGGAGGAAAATATCTAAAAGATTAATATATTTATTTAGTGGGTGCTAATTATAGTTTGAAAAGCTAGGTTTTTTATCTTCCCGCGGATTTCCTCGGTTTCTTTACCAAGGGTAGAAAAATTCGTCTAAAAGAATTTTCGTGTGTTCCGTTAAAACCTGCCACATTTACTTCTTTGAGATAAAGGTAATTTAAAGTAAAGAAGATAATTGCGTGCACTGAAGTTAATAGTTACATGTTAAGGATTTACAGAAGTTAAATACCGTTATGCTGCACTTTTCGTCATATCTGCACTTTTCTATATTTTAACTTGGAGAAATCATGTTTGCTTATTAAGTTATTTTCAAAATACCGCTAGGCGATAGTTCCTGTTGCTTCTATTCTCAAAAATATTTTGGATCAGAAACACGGATATTTTCTCATCAAACTATTTTTAGGGCTTTCTAAATGTACCTCGGTGGCTGCAGAGCTGAATTTTGCAATTAGACTCTTACAGATTTATAATAAATTAAAATAGATTCGTGCTGCGCTCCAAATGGCGCAGGTGTACGGCTTGAAATATAGGACGAATCCGTACTTTCATTTATTACATATTTTTAGAGCCTTAATTGCAAAGTCCGGCTCTTTATAGGGCCAGGTACGTTCGCAAGAAAGACTCCAAAAATAGATTTAAAAAGCAAATCTGTTTTCTCCGAGATCAAATATAGGAAAGCGCAAATAGAATGGAAAGCATAGCCTGGCAGCACTTTCATACAATCGATATTTGGCTTCTGTAGCAATAATATATTATTTTTTAAAAATTATCGAATATATTATGAATAAATGTGTATAAATGTGTTATATATATATAATATATTCGTAATATATTCGTTGTAATATATTCGTTCTTTAAAAAGAATTTATTATTATTATTATATTTTTTATATATATTATATATTATAATATGTTATTACTTAATATATAACATATTAATTTCAATTAACTTCAGTTAAATGCACGCAATTATTTTCTTTAAAGAAATAAATGTGGCAAGTTTTAACTCGAAAAAAATGCGCGGAAAAGTTGAAAAAATTCGAAAGAATCGAGTTTTTTCCGAGCTTTTAAAACTATAATGCTAATAACACACCTGTTTATAGTAGCATACATATTTTCATGCAGGGGAAAAAGTTTTTCAAACAAGAAAATATACGTTCTTCCCCATTTTAACCGTACATTTTCATGAAAGCAATGTTTTATTCTGTTTAAATAAAAAAAGTTTGATTTAAGTAAATTTGTTCTCAATATTGTTACTCAATACGATTAAAACTTTGTTACTTTTTAGATATTTTTTCTCTCACGGTGTATGCAAGTCTGATCAGTCGATTAACATGTTCACCGCTACGATGACTTTTACTGGTTATTTTGATGTTCAATTAAAATTGGAATTGCCAAAGATACCGTGAACAAACGCGATTCGCCATGCATATATGCGTCAGCTCATTTCATTGGCTTCCTATTGGCTGTACGTTTAATTTGTTATATACACATTTTATACATTTTATACATTATAAATTTCATGAGACGAGGCAATATGTTGTGACACCAGTCACTGACCATCAAGGCAATCAACGTGTTAGCACGTTCGCTACCAGCGTCACGCATACATGACGCAACGATTTCTCACGAGTAACCAACGTCATATATGTGAAAGCGAACATTTTTTTTTCTATGTCCACATTAACAAACTAAACCCGTCTTACATAATTACGTAAGAACAAAAAATACGTGGCGCTTTGGGAAGGGCCAAAGTGAGCCCTGGCAGCGAACGTGTTAATTAAAGTTCAATTAACCGAAGTTAGGGTAAATATATACATTTCCCGATGCATAGATTCGTCAGTTAATTTCTTTATCTCTCTATCGGCTCTCGATCGACTACGATAATTAATTCGTTGTGTGTAATGGGTCTTACGCATCACACTTTACGAATAAATTAATGAAATGCAGCGAAATCGCAGCGCTGGTCAACAGGTAACCTCCCACAGTCGATAATAAATAGTTATTAATAAACAGATATCTCACGCTTTCCTATTAAAACGTTAAAAATAGTACTGTCAATTTCAACTATCCGGATATCCGAGTCTTTCAGTAATTGAATATACAGTTAATTTCAGACGTTACCAATTATTGATTTTTCTGACGGTAACAGATAATAAAAATACGTCTGAAATTAGTCGTGTATTTAGTTGCTGAAAGATATTGATATCCGGGTAGATTGAAATGGACAACACTACTAGAAAGCTGGTTTCGCAATCCATTTGAGCTTCGCAACAATGAAAATATCAACGATACAAATATTGACTTTTTTACACGGTGATCCCTGTGGCAGCGGACGCGCGTTAATAAATAAATATCCCACGATTTTCTCGTAAGGATGCATAATCCCTTACAAAAGTATTTTACCGTTTTTGCTTTTGATATTTTTATCTATTCTATCAATTTTATGCTCATTTCTTGCACTCTCAAGCACGGGCAGTTTATTAAACGAGGGAATATGTACTCGAGTATTCATGAGTATTTTTAAGAAAATTGACCGTCTTCGATACTCCTTTTTCAGCCGATGGGAGTGACGGCATGTTGGTACGCTTCTCTTTCGCTCAGTTTTATTTCAATACGGAAAGAATCACGTTCAAGAGTCGTGCATTCATTCATGCTATTTGAAAATGTGCAATGTGAGTGCCTGTGAGTGCAAAACCATTATTTTCTATTCGTAACAGAATGTACGTTTACACACCTCAAATTTACACAGCACTCTGTACGTGTTTCTAACTCAAAAACACTTAATAATACGTTAATACCATTCGAATGTACTCATATGCAATCCGCTACAACCACTCGTTACGGAAGAGTCACCCTTTTCGATCTAAAAACGGGGTCATACGCACAGCCGAATGTACGTTTTCATTACTCAAACTAACAGTTTTTGCAGGCTAAAATTGGTAAAATATTTTTGTAATAATATAATTTCGAACCCTTCGTCGATATAGGGGGAGGGGGGCAAATAGGCTAAAGAGGTATTGGATAAATTGGTTAATCGATTATTTCTGCTGTTTTTTAACAGATTACAGAATCGAGCAAGCAGAGATTTCAAACGTGTCGAAGATGCCTACGAAATCTCTACCTGCCCGATTCTGTAACCTGCTAGAAAACAACAGAAATAACCAATTGGCCAAATTACCCTTTTAATCAACCTGCCTCTTCTACACTGAGAAAAAAAATGTCTTTAAATTTAATCAATCTTATTGCATCCGAACAAACTTCATCATTGACGTGCTCCGAAGAAACTAACGTTTCGATTAATAAGTATGATTGTTAGACTTTTCAACGAATATGTGTCTTTATCTTAAATAACAAAATTCGTTCGGAACGAAAGATAATTTTTCTTATGAAGGAATTATTTGTTTCATTTTACATATTTATCGTAACCAAATAATATTTTATCTGGTTAAAACATATTATTTCAAACAATATCCTTCTTTCTTTTAAACAATCGAGTTCTCTTGAATGAGACGATAAAATTTTTCACTCGAACAAATAAACATTTCCGTACACGTTGTTTCTGCGAAGCAAATTTTCGTCGAATAAATAGAATTACTGAATCTGAAGAAGACCTTTTTCTCTGTGCACAATCGAGAAGTAAATCAAGACCTGTAAGAGACCAACAGAGGCTCTTGTTTGCGAACGGTTTAATTTAATATCTATCACGATAATCATGCCGCTTACCTCGGGAGCACGATCGTCGCGATCGCGCGATGTTGATCCGTTGGATTTCCATTTCGGCATAATCGACCGCAAATCCCCCCGAAGCGTTCGCGATCGCAGCCCACGAAAGTGCTGCGAACTAGTCTCGGCCGGGCTGCGTAAACTACTCAACGCGATCATCGGCGTGCGTTGGTTGCACCAACAGGAAGGTCTGCTGGACATCGACGTGGAGTTCGCGGACGGATCACGGACGCCCCTGAGGGAGATCGCCGTGAGCGATTACCACTTGCTGGTCGAGAGCCTGGACAAGGAAGTGGTGGTGTTCGCGCCGATGGTGGCGTCGCATCATCCCCGGGTGATCGCGATCGGCGAAGGCCGCGGCGACCTGCTGCGCGTCAGCCTCCAATTGGCCGACACCTGCCGGCTCACCGGCAGACGCGCCGCCGGCAAGGGCACCCAGAGGACGGCGGCCGTCGCGTTGGCGAGCGCCTCCGCCAACGTCGAGGTGGACTTCACCTCGAGCGAGGTGCCGAATCGGCCGGAATTCGTGCAGAACGACGGCGGCGGTACCGTCGGCTCGCAGAATCACCGGGAACGGAAGACCAGCCGTGGCGAAATGGCGCCCGATCTGCATGACATTCTCATCGGTAAATAGACCCTGTTCCTCTTTGCCGCGCTCTTCGCCGCTTAAGTTTGCTTTTCTCTTTCTCTGTCCCTCGGGGCTCCGAGATATTCGTCCGGATCTGACGTGTCCTATTCGAGTTACCCGATCATTCGGATGACCGAGAATTGTAACGTGGAAAAAAGGAATAGTTTGTCTGGGTTACCCGAATAGTGCGGATTCGAATGGTCGGATCAGAACCGATCTCCGATATCCGGACAACGAGATATCCGAATATTTAGGATGCTCTCTCCCTTCTTTTCTCTCTATCTCTCTCTGACTGTCTCTCTCTCTCTCTCTCTCTCGCTCGCTTCTCTTGTGTTCCCTTTCCTTCCGCCAGGCTCCGCGCTTTATAACTGCCACGTTGCACCCGCGCGACGTGTGCATTTCGTTCCTCGGCGTGTTTCTCGGCGGAAACTTTCCTCACCGGGGCCATTTGGCTTGTACCGTAAAAAGTTTCGTCCGCCAGCCTGCTTATGCGTGGCCTCACCCCGCGGTCTCCCTCGTCGTGTCTGCTCTCTCCCTCTCTGCCTATACTTCTCCGTACGCTGATGGTTTTCCCCTTTGTGCTCATGAATGTCAGATGCGTTACCGCTGCGAAGAATAATTCGCGATGACGACGATTCGCCGGCTTACATCCATCGTCGGAGCTACCTCAACCGACTCCAACGAGATCCATTTAGCGCTGAATTCATCAGCGGGGCGGACCCGCCGCGCGCGTCACGAAAATCAATTCCGGATCCCCCGGACTCATCATTGAACTCTGTAATACTCGTATATTGGAGCGAACCGTCAACGGAGCGAAGGTGTCCGACTCGTAGAAAAGGATGCACGTGTTCTGGATGCATTCTTATCGTTAGCCTGTCATTCAGCTGTCCGATCAACCCAGTCGGCAAGGCTATTGTCAGGAAGTCGCCCGATGCAACTACCTTTGCAACTACATCGGTTTACTCACCTAACACCATACATTGACGCTGCGATTCGCCGCCTTAAAAATCAAAATGATTACGGCAGCAAACTTTCGTGAAGCCGGTAGAAAATGGCCGCACCAAGCGAATTCCTTTCCTTTCACTAATATTATAAAGCTCGGTACCCGAACTCCAGCGACACACCGCGACGCAGCTCTTTCCGCGCGCGAAGTTCGGAAAACTACGAGAGCCCGCGAGAGCGAAACGTCCGACACGACGTTCCCCTCCCTCCGAACAGTTCCGAAGACCCAACGTAGACGGTATTTTCCGCGTGTCTTCGGCATAATGCCAAATCGTTGTACACTCGGCAATCCAATTGCCACGGCGAGAGTGCAAACGTGCGTTCGGTGCCCTCCTTCACTTTCGCACACGCTTCTGAACCATCTCCTCTCTCTCTCTCTCTCTCTCTCACACACACACACACAAACATATCGTTGTCCAGCTTTTGAGACCCGTAGGTGCTTCGGGGGGAAAAGAAGTTCTCCCTCGACGGTTCTCTTTCCGCCATTCTCTCTCTTTCTATCTCTAACTCAGCGCACCGGCCTCTCTCACTCTGTCCTCTCTCTCTTTCTCTCTCTTTGTTTTCTGTGCAAAGGGTTACCGCTGAAAGACGAGTACGGGCACGAGCACGAGCCTTTGGTGCAGGCACGGCAGCATCGCACGGCTATAGCTAATGGCATGTCTCCAGGGGGTATGAGCAGCGTCGGTGTGCGTCATCACGGCGGGGCGCGCATGAGTCCGCTCGAGATCGGGATGTACGTGCTCCTAGCGGCGTTCTGCTTCGCGATCGTTGTCTTCGTTGTCTCCTGCGTGGTGTACGCGAGCAAGTTCAAGCCCCAGCCGCCGGACTCCCCACTGACCGGCGCGGCCGTCCCGGTCCTCTCCAGCGCGGCGAGGGCGCGCGCCGCGGCGAACCAGCTCGCGTCCGGCAGGCGACCGCCGCGAGAATCGACGACCAACGCACACGACTGGGTATGGCTGGGCAGAGCGACCCTCGAGCGAGCCGCCTGCGGCCCGCAACAGGTACGTGCAGACGCCGAGACGTCGCGATTCATCGTCGCCGGGCGCACCTGAATGGAACCTCCCGATGCGCCCTTTCCTGTCGTCACTCGGTTCCCGCGCTGAGGCCCGTAAACTACTGCAATAGTACGCTACGATAGCCGCAAAGTATGCGGTGAGACGTAAACAGTAAGCTGACCGACCAATCGGATTCCCGAGAACCGTTCGCAATAGCCGCAAAGTATGCGGTAAAACGCAAGCGGTAAGCTCAGTGACCAATTGGATTCATACATGCCGAAGATAAATCGACTGTGGTTGGTCAGTTAGTTCACTGCTTACGTCTTTTACTGCATACTTTGCGGTTATTGCAGACGGTCCTTCATGGTCCTTTTAAGCGGGGAGGCAATGAGAATTTATAAGGTCTAAGATTTAAGAAATTGACCAATCGTAATTGATCTTTCTTGGATAATTCGACTGCGATCGGTCAATTTCTCAAGGCTTAGAGCTTAAAGCATCTATTGTAGGACCGGGGCTTACAGTCCAAGAATAATCGATTGTAATTGGTCAATTAGCTCACTAATATTATAGTATAATATATATAATATATAACATATATATATAATATAATATACTATACGTATATTTTAGACCGGGAGCGCATAAGTAGCATATAAAATGTTACTTCTGGGAGAAACTTTGTGGGGGCCGAAAAATTTTAACGAGGGCGACGGTTTTTCTTAGCGTTTCAAGTAAAAATATCTTTAACAAAGTCATCTCTATTCTTATTTATTCTGATTATTCTTCCTATGATTTAAGAATAATCTGGTTAGTCAATCCTTAAGTCTCGCTGTTAAACTGTGTCTATGTGCTCCCGGCCTTACGGCTGTCGTAGACGGTCCTTTAAAGATCGTTCTACACTGACCGGTATCACTGACGCTTCTGATTGGCCGATCGCGACAAGCGTATGCTTGCGACCGATGTGGAGCGACCTTAACGGCCCGGGTCGTGTTGCTGCTGCACGTTGGGCGATTAATTTGAGGAAAGATTAACTGCGATTATTATCGCCGGACGTGGTATACGTATTAAATTAAATGCAACGTACATTACGCACATATGCATACACGGATACACACTCGCGATGGTCGATGGTCCCCTGACTGTTCATCGAGCACGCTCGGGATTAATTCGTGATTAAATTCAGTCGGCAGGATTTGTTACAAATATCCGTGACGCGCGCGTGTTACGCCGCCGCAGCGCGGCCCGGTAAGCCGGCTCAGCGTTTATATAAAACAAGCGGGATTTTGTTGGATCGGCCTGATTGGAAACTCGCTTTGCGTTACGCAGGTGCGCGTGACGAGTAATCCGCTGGCCACCGAAGGCGAGCCCGAGGCCGAGCTCGGCACATGCTTCGACAATCCGAACCACATTGAGCTGCCGTCCGCGAATCAACGAGGTGGCAGCGGCGGCGGTGGTACCAGCGGCGGCAGCGGCGCCATCGACACCACGACTTACTGCAAGAGGGACAGGATCGCGCGGAACAGCTTGGCGACGAAATCCGCGATGAAGCCGGCCGCGGTGATAACGCCGACCACCGCTGCGACCACCACGACGTCGATGGCAGCCGCAACGATGACCACCGCGCGGAATGAGTATATATATTTCACTGTCCTTAAAGGAATACTGAGCCGAGAGTCGTCCTCTTTTAGCCGCATATTTTATTGATAGTACTGTATACAGAATTGAAAATCCCTTCGCCGAATCACAATACACGTGTTGGCACAGCGTCGGATGCTTGACTCGGGAAATGAACAAAATTGTAACGAATTATATTTGTAGATCTGCCGTCCGGGGGAGCATGTATGTACACAGAGTAGTGCTTTTCTCAAAGCTTAAAGTTGGCACTTTCAAGTTACCGTATAGGACGGGAGAGAAATGTCAATTTGACCCCGAGTTACGGGACGTTAAAGGCAAAGGCACCGAATTAATTTGCACGCCTAATGTTGGCGCGAGAGCTGATCGCCCGCACAGTCGTCATCGTACCCTTGTTTGCAGCAACGACGACATCCCTCCGCCGTTGCCGCCTCACGGGGTGCCGGCTGCGATCTCCATGTCGGCGGCGGCGGCCGCCACGGCGACGACGAACGCGAACAACGGTAACGAGGAGTACAAGCCACCGGTGCCGCCGCATAGGAACACAGGGGTGAGCGTGCGACTGCCGGAACCACCGCGCAAGCATCGTCACAGGGCGTCCAGCGGCGGCAGCAGCGGCAACCATCGGCACAGCAAGCAGCAGCAGCACAACCATCACCAGTCGTCGCACCACATCAAGCCGCACGGAAAGACCAGGGTGGACAATAACTCGAAGCAGCAGCAGAAGAACGGGGAGGACGAGGAGCTCGTGGAGCTGGTCAACAGCCACGACGACAGGCACTCGAAGGACGCGAGGTCCCGGGAGATCAAGAGGGCGACCATAGTCGGCAACCCGATGTTCTCGTCCTTCTCCGCATCCGCTGTCGTCTCCAGCGTCAACTCCTCCTCCTGCACCCCTACCGCGGCCTCGTCATCCACGTCCCCGCCATCCTCGTCGCCGTCCTCCTCGTCCTCCTCGTCCTCCGCCTCGTCCTCCTCGTCCTCCTCGTCCTCGTCTTCTTCTCAGGAGCAGGAGGAGTCGGTGGCGCTCGACGACCTCAATCTAGGCATGGACTACAACCAGATCATGCAGTACTTCGACAACCTGAAGGAGTCGAATGCCTAGGTGGGGCCGTTCGACCTCTTCGAAGGTCGAGTAGTAGTCAACGTCGATACGGAACACCGGGATCCTCGCTAGCGCGCCAAGGTATCGAGCTGTCCGCCTGCTGCGCCTGCTCGCCGGCGACGACGACTCCGCCACGTCGAGGACGTCCCCGGTTGTTTCGTATTTTAGACTATAATCTAGTCAGCTTTCTAGCAGCACGTCAAGAGTAACGCGCGAACACGAATAATACACATCCAGTTCATACACGCGCACACACTCGTGTACGAGAAGAGAATAATAACGCTCCTTCGCGCCACGACCTAAACGGTCCTCCGACGATTTGTGAGGAACGCTGACGGCTCTTTCGAACGACGGATCTCAGAGTTCCCGAGGTCTCGCCTGTATTTCTTCATCGCTCTCACGAAGCTCTCACCGAGAAACTGCTCCTTCGCTAATCGCGATATTTTTACCACCTCTACTCGTAAAATCCTTTCTTCGCTTTTTCAACGAAGACTTTCAAGGGCTTTCTACGATAAGTCCGTTAGTCGTAACGCATGAGACAGAAGAGATCTAAACAGCACGACAACACCGGGACACAAGACGTCTTAAAGTCGTATTTAAATAAGATGTCTTCAAAACGTCTTATAGGCGTCTTATATCCCAGTTTTAGGTTTGGGGAAGGTCTGGGGAATTTATCGGAGTCCTTCATTTCTCCATCTCCAGGATATCCTGCTTGGTAGATTCTCTTATGCTTTATACGTGGCTGCCGGCTTATCGTAGAAAGCCTTTTGGATTTCGCTTTAACTGATAACTTTCGATACGAAGAACCAATCCTGAACGAAGTAACCGTCCTCATTTCACGTCGATGGCGTGACTTCACTTTGAACACACACATGCGCAGTCACCGTTCGAATCACCGAGTCGAAACTGCCGGTGCGACAAATCGGTCGGAGCACTGTTCGTACACACACACACACATACACAACACACACACACACACGCAAGAGGCTTAAAAAAAAAACTGACTGTCGGTGGCCAGTGGGGTAGGTAGAACGCTCGCTCGACGACGAGCGTCACACGCGACGTTCCGACGTTTCGTTCCTCGCTGCGAGCTTCCCTTCGTTTCGTGGGATCGCCGATCCTCGCTCTTGCCCCCGCGCGCCATCTTGATCTCTCGCTCAAGCCCTTCCTCCGCTGTACCACGGTTCCTCCTCCCGTTGTCGGGCCGGGAGAGTCGGATCGGGCAGCCGCGAGACGCGGCGCATTTTGACGGCGAAGGTCCCGCCGATTCGTCTTCGCGCATCGTGCGTCACGTGCCACAGGTGAACAGGCTCTTTCGAGGGAATTCCGGAATTCTCGCGCACCGAAGCGACCCGAGAACTCCCGCGGGATCTTCTTCGCGTCTCTCCTCTCAGCTCATTCCGCCGAGTCCGGCCTTCGTTGGATATTCATTCCACGTATGATGCCGTCGGCAGTTCACCGGGCTGCCTGACGTCGGCTCGAAACGCCGCACGCGCCATCGAGACACAACGAAGCCTCCACTCTCACGGCCCGATCCTCGTCGGAGGACACGTATTTATTCGATCGACCGTACGTCGTAATGTTTGTAAATTTTGCTTTGTAAGACTGTGTACATATATATATTATACACACATATATATATATATATATATATATATATATAT